TTCCACCCACCCAGTCCAACATCCAGCACTTGTCTTTGTGGTCGACGACAGGCACCTCGTCTCCCACACCTGCAATGGACGTGTCACCAGACCTTCTACGCCTGGGCACAACGTCCACCGTAGATTTCCCCTGCCGACCAGTAGCCTCCTCTTCTCGACCCGCAGCCCCACCACTCATCAACACAGTCGAATCCGGTCCCGAACCTCGAACATGGGGGGAAGGAGTGCCCGTAGAAGGTGCACCCCGCAGCACCGGGGTTCGGTGGCCCTTAGACCCCGGGGTGTCGCCAGCCCCCACGCCAGCCGTCAGTGTCCCCTTCGTTTTTTTCAGGGATTGCTCCATGCTCCCGGAACCAGTACTAGTACGTCGTTTGCTTGGCTTCCCTTTGCGATCCATGTCGAGCAGCTAGTCGCAACTGAAGAAAACGCACAAGCGAGAAAGCAGTCATTGCTTTGCCGATGTGCAAACACCACAGCATTCAAGAACTAGAATAGACAGGAACACAGAACAACGGAAGCGGGCGCAGCCTGCTAGCTCGTCGTAGTTTCACTGTCGTGTCGAACTCGACGGCCGTGCCACGACGTCCTTTAGTACCGTCGAATTCGACACGACAGCGACATTGCGGTGTCCTCGTGTCACTGTCGTGTCGAACCCGACGGCCGACCAACTCGTCGTCCTGCTCGATGTCGAGTTCGGCACTGCGCGGGCTGTCCGACCGTCGTGTTCGACACGACAGCTACACTGTTGTCTGTCGTGCGACAGTTGACCAAGTGCCCCTTCAGGCACCGACTGGTCACCAGACCACATTGTCCATTTCGTGTTCGACACGATGGTCGCCAGACGGTGCCTGAAGGGGAGCTGACCGTCGTGTTCGACACGACAGCGACACTGTCGTCTGCCGTGCGACAGTCGACCAAGTGCCCCTTCAGGCACCGTCTAGCGACCATCGTGTCGAACACAACAGCGACACTGTGGTCTGTCGTGCGACATTTGTCGTGTTCGACACAATGGTCGGCGGACGGTGCCTGAAGGGGCACTTAATCACAAGAACGAAGACAACAGATTGCAGACACTGGTTAATACGGAGATACAATGACTGATGAATGCTTGTGTACGCAAAACATCAGAACAACGAGGTTTTTTTTTCGCAAGGAAACACAACATGAGAACAACAATCAAACACTCGGGCTGGTAGCGATGTGTCGGTGTCCAAAGCCAAACCGAAAACACGTGTCATCATTCCAGGGTTTCAATGAATCGAAAAACAATATCAGGACAGCAACGTCACACGACGTCGAGTTCGGCACTGCGCAGGTTGTCCGACCGTCGTGTTCGACACGACAGCTACACTGTTTTCTGTCGTGCCACAGTCGACCAAGCGCCCCTTCAGGCACCATCTGGTCGCCAGACCACAGTGTCTATGCCGTGTTCGACACGATGGTCGCCAGACGATGCCTGAAGGGGAGCTGACCGTTGTGTTCGACATGACAGCGACACTGTCGTCTGTTGTGCGACAGTCGGCCAAGTGCCCCTCCAGGCATCGTCTGGCGATTATCTTGTCGAACACGACAGCGACACTGTGGTCTGCCGTACAATATTTGTCGTGTTCGACACAATGGTCGACGGACGTTGCCTGAAGGGGCACTTGATCACGAGAACAGAAGACAACATATCGCAGGCACGGGTTAATACGGAGGTACAATGACATCTGAATGCTTATGCACGCAAAACATCATAACAACGAGTTTTTTTTTCGCAAGGAAACACAACATGAGAACAACAATCAAACACTCGGGCAGGCAGCGATGTGTCAGTGTCCAAAGCCAAACCAAAAACACGTGTCATCATTCCCGGGTTTCAATAAATCGAAAAACAATATGAGGCCAGCAATGTCACACGTGTGTACTTTTCGCCACTGAACACATGATGAGAACAACTAGCAGATCCCGCGTATTGTTACCAAAATAACATATTGAGAACAGCAATCGCAATCCGATTTCCACAAAAATAAAAACGAAAAGGCAGCGATGCGTCATTGTTGAACACACAACGAAATCAAAAGGCTGTCAACATCGGACGAAAACGGAATAAAAAAGTTGTCAACATCGGTCTCGACATATCCACAAACTTGCGACAGTGACAGAGTCGGAAAATGTGGAACGGCGAAGGTTATCCATCGACCATGGGGAACTCTCCCGCCGTTGCGGTCATTCAGTATGTCCTCGAAGGCTATCTATCGACTACGGGGAACAATCTCGCCGTTGCAGCCATTCAACACGCTAAGTGGCGATCCGAAGGTCAGCTGCTGCACCGTCTCAGCAAACACCAAAATGTATGTCATGCGCACGAACCCGGAGTTCCCGACGAGAGAAGCGCCTATAGCATCCCGAATTGAAACGACTTTAGCCTCGACCTCGCGCCATGCGCCAAGGTCCTCCACCTGGCCACCCACCACGATATCGAGTCTCCCATCTACCTCTCTTTGAACTAAACACATATCCCTCCCGGACATAGACAACCCGTTCCTGGATACATACACGACAGTGTCGGTCAAGTTTCTTGCCCTGCTCGAAACAGCAATACAGAGGACCCTACAAAAGATGAAGTATGCCAGACGCAATCTCACACAACAATACGAAACTGCTCTTGGCGACAGACCGGGAGATCGCAATAGATAATGATCGAGGAACTGAGAATGTCGCGCACAATCGAGTAACTCCTGTTTCATAACACGGCACCAGGTGCGAGGCGAGGTTGTCACGTATTCGCAGTCCAAAACCCCCACAAGACGAGTTATTTTCAGCTTTTTACACAATTGAGGCAAGCGCACGGTACGTAGCTCATCGAACGGCACAGGAATGCGTTTGCCGAATTTCGACATATTGGCGAACTCATAATTGCATGCCCACGGGCATCTCTCCGTCATGTTCACCCACTCGTACTCCTCCCACGAGTCCAAATGTTTGTCGCCAAACGGGAGGATTCTTATCCAAGGGTCGCATTCGAAGTCTTCGGGACAAGCGTCGTAATAGGTTACGCTGCCCTGACATTGCCGGACGTACAGCACGCAAGGTGGGAAAGGGTGTGCCTTGCGTGCATGCCAAAGTGTTGGGGTCATATGAGAGATCTCCATAGCAACAGTGAAGAGACGACCCCCTGCACGGCACAAGTGCAACGATCAACAGCAGCATAGAACAATTCCCCCTCGACGCCCTGCACGGCACAAGCGCAACGATCAACAGCAGCATAGAACAATTCCCCCCCTCCCCCCAACAATGGAAACAAACCAGGCCGCACGACAACACACTGCACATAATCTATGTGCGCAATCCACGCCCACATTCCACGCACACAACCGATGCACGATCTTCTAGGACTTGACGCACGCGGTACATTGCACTGCACACAATCATGAACGATTCAATGACATTGCACCGCACACAATCGTGTTCAACTCGACGATAGGGAAGGATCGTGTTCGACTCGACGACAGGGCACCATCGTGACGATCGTGTTCGACTCGACGATCGTGTTCCACTCGACAATCGTGTTCGAATCGACGATCGTGTTCGACTCGACGATCGTGTTCGATTTGACAATAGGTCACTGTCGTGTTCGGCTCGGCGATCGTGTTTGACTCGACGATAGAACACTGTCGTGTTTGACTCAACTATCGTGTTTGACTCGACGATCGTGTTTGACTCGACGATCGTGTTCAACTCGACGATCGTGTTCGACTCGACTATCGTGTTCGACTCGACGATCGTGTTCGACTCGACGATCGGGTTCGACTCGACGATTGGGTTCGACTCGACGATCGGGCTCGACTCGACGATCGAGCACTGTCGTGTTCGACTCGACGATCGGGCACTGTCGTGTTGGACTCAGCGGTCGGGCGCTGTCGTGTTCGACTCGACGGTCGGGCGTCGTCGTGTTCAACTCGACGATCGGGCACGATCGTGTTCGACTCGACGATCGGACACGATCGTGTTCGACTCGACAATCGTGCACGATCGTGTTCGACTCGATTATCGGGCACTGTCGTGTTCGACTCGACGGTCGGGCGCCGTCGTGTTCGACTCGACGATCAGGCACGAACGTGTTCGACTCTACGATCGGACACGATCGTGTTGGACTCGACGATCGGGCGCGATCGTGTTCGACTCGACGATCAGGCACGATCGTGTTCGACTCGACGACCGAAGGTGCCACGTGGCGTTATGTGGTTGCATCTGCGCTGCGTGGTTGTGTCCTCACCGTCCGATCCTTCAAACTCGGGGTGCTCCGCTGTGGTTATGTGTCGCGATCTTGGGCCGTATGCTCGCTCCGTCGTCGAGTTGAACACGCCTCTCGACAGCGCTGTGGTCCGCCGTAACGTCGAGCAGGTGGTCTGCTATGCACGGACCGAATCCCTGCGCTCCGTTGCCGCGGTGAACAGGAGCCTCCACTGCGCTGCGCTGTGGCACGAGCCTCCGCTGCGCTGCGCTATTACTACGTTGCCGAACTGAAACGAAAATGGGAACTGGTGGCCCTCCCTCATATATGTAGTTTTTCGGGTGGGCCCTTCGCGGGCACCTGCTGGCCGTCCGATCAAGGGATACCAACGGTCGGGATGATCCAATGGGGAGTGGTGGGCCTCCCTCATATATGTAGTTTTTTGGGTGGGCCCTCCGCGCGCGCCTGCTGGTCGTCCGATCCGGGAATACGGACGGTTGGGACGATCCAATGACTGCAGTCGGTCACGATCGTTTTCCCGCCTTGGCCAGAGCGGAGGCGAGGGGATGACGTTCAGCTCCAGAGCAGAAATGCGATTCGTGCACATGAGTAGCCGCGACATTGTGTCATTGTTCTCTTTCTGGGAGAATCAGCGCAGTGGTCCGCCAACGTCGACACGACAACTGCCCCGCTTTCCAGGTAAGTGCCGCTTCGGCCAACACGGCCCCTCCCCCCCCCCCCCCCCCCCCCCGCGAGACAAAGTGAAAAACCTCCGTGGACGGCCGTGTCCAGTGCTGGTTTATTGGTGACGTCAATAAGTTTTCTCGAACACTTCCACCTCAGTCGTCGTCATGTCGAACACGATGGTCATCGTGTCGAACACGATGGTCGACACGGTCGCCGTCATGTCAAACACGATGGTCGTCGTGTTGAACACGATCGTCATCGTATCCGACACGCTGGTCGTCGTGTCCGACACGAGCGTCGTTGTGTCCGACACGGTCGTCGTCGTGTCGAGCACGATGGTCGTCGTGTCGAACAGGATCCTTATCGTGTCGAACACGATCGTCGCCGTGTCGAACACGATCGTCGTCAGGTCGAACACGATCGCCATCGTGTCGAACACGACCGTCGTCGTGTCGAACACGCTCGTCGTCGTGTCCGGCTCGTTGAACACGATCTTCGTTGTGTCGTGCACGGTCGTCGTCGTGTCGAACACGACCGACATTGTGTCGAACATAGCCGTCGTCGTGTCGAACACGACCTCCATCGTATCGAGCACGGTCGTCGTCGTGTCCGACACGATCGTCGACGATCGTCGTAGTGTCCGACACGATGGTCGTCGGGTCCGCTGCGATGGTCGTCGGGTCGGACACGATGGCCGTCGTGACGAGCACGGTGGTCGTCGTGTCCGACACGGTCGTCATCAACACAATCGCCGTCGTGTCCGACACGATCGCCGTCCTCACGAGTATGGTGGTCGTCGTGTAGAACACGACGGTCGGTCGAGTTCTGACGTCGTCGTCGTGTCGAGCACGATGGTTTTCGAGTCCTGACGCTGTCGTGTCGAACACGACCGTCATTGCCAAGATCGCAGTCGTGACAAGTACAGTGGTCGACGTGTCGAACACGATGGTCGCCGAGTCGGACATGACCGTTGTCGTGTCCAACACGTTTGCCGTCCAGTCGAGGGCCCTCGTGTCGATGACTGTCGTCGTGCCAAGATCGGTCGTCGATCATGACCATGGTCGTGCCGAGAGCGGTCGTCGGTCACGACCGTCGGGCGTGGTCGTCGAACACGACCGTCGTCGTGTCGAACACGATCGTCGTCTTGGGCACGATCGTGGTCGTGTCGAACGCGATCTTGGTCGTGTCGACCACCATCACGGTTGTGTCGAACACCCTGCTCTTTTTTGCCACGACCCCCACCTTCGTTTCGACTTGCACAGAGTTTAGTGCGAGTTGCGCCAACAGAACATAGTACCCGGGTGACTGTCTTTTGTCTCTTGTAGCACTGACTGCTTGTTGCGAGATTGCGATAATATAAAATGGAGCCCCTGTCGTGTTGGGTGCGACATTGGCATTGCCGCAGTCGTTTGCCTTCTCAGCTTGGGTTTCTAGAAACCCGTCGTGCGCCATCGAACGAACTCTGCGCGAATTTTGCTTCAAATCCTCGGAGTCAAGTACCCGGGAATCAAGACGAGGGACCCTTCCGTGTTGGGCGAGGCGGTCGCGTTGCCACGATGGTTTTCCTGCTCACTCGTGGCAGTGTTCCTGCCCTCTCTGTGTAGGTGGTGAGTACCACGCGTGTCAGAAATCAAGACAGGGGACCCTTCCGTGTTGGGCGAGGTGGTCGCGTTGCCACGACAGCTTTCCTGCTCACTCGTGGCAGTTTTCCTGCGCGCTCTGCGTGGGTGGTGAGTACCACGCGTGTCCAGTCGCTGTAGTTTCTGGAATAATATAGAATCTTTCCTATCAATGCCCTCGTGCCAAGCTGTGTGCTGCGCGCCAGAGTCTTCGCCGTTCCGCTGTTGGTGCCCGCTGGGTTTTGCGCACCGTGGTCTCTGCTTTCCAAAGTTGGTGCCCGACGTGACATGTGCTGCGTTTCCTGTTGCGCGTCAAGATCTCCGCCTTTTCAATGTTGTTGCACGCTGTGTTTTCCGTTGCTGGTACCCCGACTTGACATGTGCTACGCTTCCCACTGTCGTTCGATCTCCGACTTGGACAGACTTTTTTGCGTGTATTGCGCCTTTGGCACGGATTGTGCCTGATGGCTGGATTGCTACCCTGATTTCACGGTCGTGTGTTATCCTCTCTCGGATGTTTCCTGTTCCCCTCCGTCCAGTGTAGGGCAGTGTTTCTCAGGGTCATTTAAAGGGTTGTGTTTCTCGCTGTTGTGTAGGGATGGTTGTCTGCTCCATTTCATTGACCTCTGATTTGCGCCTTTGACAGTGGTCCGCTGTTTTGTTGTCGCACACACGTCTCGTGCATGGCTTGTTGTGTGCATGCTATGCCACGGCAGGCTTGCAGCACAACCTTGGAAAGCATGGACTGTGTGGCATCTTATACAATGCTCAATGAGGATTTTCCTCCACCGCACCTGCCAGTGTGTTCACAAGATGTTCGAAGTGGTCACAAACGTGTCGATAATGCTCCGGAATCTCCTGCTCATAAGAGGTCACAAAATATTGTGTGTGCGGACACTACATGTGAAAGTGCGTATCCCGTCCTTCGATGCCCGGTTCGAACCTATGATGCAGAGAGTGTTGAAGGTCAAGGGGGTAAGGCCTCATCTACTGACAACGATGCATCCGATGTAGATCGTATTGTATGGGTGTCGAGGAGTTCACTTCGAGATTTCGAGTACACAGGTCTTCTGTTTGGTGAGAGTGATGAAGGTGGTTCAGATTCAAGTGCTTCGGTGTCGTCTAGTGTTGATAGTTCTCCAGATAAAACCGATCATCCGCAAACGTACGCTGACCGGAACAGTAACCACTGTCGTCGAAATGACGATGGGAATTGTGACGTGATCTCTGATTTCGATGACATTTTTCCAAAACGTCTGTCCTCAGAGAAGCGTCCTTATACTTTTCGTCTCAGAATGTCGCGGTCAAAGAAGATCCTGCAGTCAGTTCATAGAAAACTCACAAAAAAAACACTGGCGAGTATGCGTGGGCAATTTTGCTGTAAGCGAGAGTGTTGCGCTCAAATGACCCTGGACGACATCAAAGTTGTCCGGAGCGCATACTACTCTAAGAACTTGCAGAGCAGGGATGCATGGTGGGTTGAAACGTTGAAGAGGTTCACCTTCATAGAAGATGAAAAAGAGATTGTTCAACCTATTGTGGGGAGACGAAAGGTGTGCATTAGTGCTTGGTGTTTCACACTAGGTGTATGTAGGAATACATTTCTCAAAAAAAGGATGACTTTGTCAAAAGGCTACGTTATGCCGGAGCATGGCAGTACTGGACTCAAACGCACATCAGCAACATATGCGACGATGTACGAGAAACTAAGCTCCTTCGTGCGAGACAACGGAGATTCCATGCCCAACGACATGAAGATCAAAGAGGGGGAATCGAGAGTGGTGTTGAGATTGCCTGCTTGCTATAACAAGGTTGATATTTATAAGTTGCTAAAGTCGCAATTCGACAACATGGGTGCTCCTTGTGTTTCTCTTCAAGTTTTTTACAACATGTGGAGAACGCAGTTCTGGCATGTGAAATTTCATGACATTGATCAAAACTTTGCGAAATGCGAGAAATATGTCGAATACAAAGAATCTATCAATTCCGCAAAGTTTGTGCGTGTGCGTGAGTACTTTGTTTCGTTACGCGAGAAACACTTAGACTTGCAGCTCCAACATCGTGCGGCGTATGAGGTGTGGAAGGATGAGTCGAAGAGACCGGGTTCCAACAGTTTGTGCATCATCATTGACGGCATGAACCAAAGCAAGACCAGCATTCCATACTTTGGCGGAGAGAACAAATCAAAAGCATTCGCAAATATTCCGATGTAAAAAACGAATCTAACAGCTATTATTACACACAGCCGCTCACCATCGGTCCATGTTCACACATGGTACCCTTGCTATCCACATGATTCTAATGCTGTAGTGTCATCCATTATGAAAGTTATCCGCGACATCCAGGCGACAAGTGACTTGCCTCCTAAACTGAGGATACAAGCTGACAACTGTTGGACAGAAAATAAAAACGGATACGTTTTGGCACTCGATGCAGCTTCGGTGAAATTTGGCTTCCTCAAAGAAGTCGAATTCGGTTTTATGTAAGTGGGACACACACATACGGACGTTGATGCCACTTTCAGTCATTTCTCTCGCAAACTGAAAATGCACGATGCTTATACCATGCTCGACCTCTTCAAGCTCGTTGCCAGTTCTCAAAAAGATCGTTCATTGTGTAAATTCATGGATGAAATTGCCTTTGCCTACTAAAGATAAAATTTCGGATTTCGAATCGGGAATTGAAGGTGTGAAGACGTTTGTTGGGTGGTTGGAGAACAAGCGGCACGAGTGGTTGGGAATGAAAGATGAGGTTAGCTTATCAAAGGAGAGTGCTCTTTCACACTGGAGAACTTTCCTCGAGACAGTCGAGGAGCATTACGGGTCTCGGTTTGCGAAAACTTCACTCAAGGTTGACTTCTGCCCCTCACAAGACAAAATTAAGAAGGATGATCCAGATGATATTGATATTGCCTTCCTCTTGAAGAGCAATGAAAATAAGGAGTCGTTGTTCATTGGACCGGCCAATGAGCGTTCAAAGGCAGAGCTCAACCCAGTTGTGGATGTCGAAAAAGGTCAATTCGTTCTCTTGCGTCCTTCCCAAGAGGATATCGATGAGGGAGTTCCTGTATGGATGGGTAGAGTCATTTCCGATGTAGACAACGATATGAAGTCGTCAACTTTCAATCATATTCTTATTGAATATTGGGTGCCACAACCTGTTGTTAAACGTCTTTCTGTGCAATATTTGAACACATGGAAGAAGACGTGGAAGAAAGACAACACAACATCACAGCAGCGGCCACATGTAGACTGTGTTGTGTGGAGTTGGACATAAAAGACATTGCATTTGGAAAATGGAGTGCACATTCCAAAATCGGCCAGAGAGAAGGCCTTGGTATGCCTTTCACTTCCCGATAATGAAGATCAGTAGGTTTTAAATAGGTTTTGAAGAAGAGCTAATCGTATTTCTTTACACGTATTAGTACGTTATTTAGTTGTCACTGAGTTTTCATTTATATATATTTAAACTGTATTTTCATGTGTTGCAGAATGGTTCAACCATTTGTGACGACTAGATGGCCACCAAGTAACATGGTGTGGGGAAGAAATATATGGCATGATATGGGTTCTGTTTTCCTCACATCTGAAGTGATCTTTGACAGTGCAATACTAAGTGTTAGAGGTGTGGATGCCCCACCATAAGACTGGAAGCATTATCCTCGACAGTCACTGTATATTTGTGGTCGCAGGTGTTGTGGAACGAGAACATACCCGCGAGAAGTGCCCGCACCCTTTCGGAATTGAATAATTCAGCAGTCAAATTCTGCCACAACAATTTCAACGTGATGACCTTGTTTTGCGCAGCGACAACTGTTCGAGGCCGATGCAAAGTATCTTTCCTTATTCATAATGACTATTCTGCAAGTGCAAGTGTTTCCAATGCAAACAACATCGATGAACGACGACGGCAAGAATTCCGAAGGAGAATCATGGAGCAACCATCACTCAAAACACTCATGGATGGGCTTGTGGACACGACCATCAAATATTTGCGAAGTCTCCTGCTGCGCGAATATGAAGTAATAGAAAGTAATATAGAGTACAAGGACCCGGCGTTTGATGGACAAACTGATACCATCATTGTAGAAGATTAGACAACTTATACAAGGATAGACTGAAATGTTGTCTTGATCGAATTAGTTTATCCCTGTAGTCGATCTAGTTACTAGGCTTGTTTTGCCTACTTTCGGAGTATCATTTGTGCTTTGCATTTAATTTATTTTTTTCCTTACTCGGTCAATGGCCTTGAGACATCATCTAAGTTCGAATAGCCCAGTCCTGCATTAATATAGAGTTATTTGGTTATCCGATTTCAGTGAGATTCGAAGTAAGGTTTGTGTTTTGACAGTTTATGGGTGACACTGCTTTCAAATTGCTTTTAATATTGAACTTTTGCACGTGTTTTCATTTAATTGTGTTGTTGTAGTTAAGCAAGATTTTTGTACCTGTCTTTGGAGTGTCCGCTGCACTTTGTTGTCAAATATTAATAGATCTTTAAATTTTCTTCTAAGGTCACATGCAAGGTTTTTTTGTTCTTTCATGTAAGCCTGTAAGTTCAAGGAACATCAGATTCCGAACTGATTGAAATATTGTCAAGTTGAACTTGATCCGACACTCACTGAGTCTCACGTTTTGCAATATGTGTCCATGTTGTATAAGCTTGGTATTATAATTAATATAATAAATTGAATATGACTTTTTGAATTTTGCGATAGAATAGATGTATTCATATTATGAAAGGTTGGGATAATATACAATAGTTGACTCATGAAACTTGTATTCATGCAGATATGCGACTTTCTTTAAAAATAGAATCACGGATAGTTGACTAATGAAACTTGTATTGATGCGGATATGCAATTTTCTTTTCAATACTTGATGATACAATATTTGTCAATAAGATGCTAAAATTCTCTGCTCTTGTTCTTAAATTTACTTTTGTTCTGGCAAATTTGTTAATTTCATTATGTTCACTTTTTACAAAACATTTCATTTTTAACGAAAACACCGTTACACATACAGTCACACACACACACACACACACACACACACACACACACACACACACACACACAAACACACACACACACACAATTTTACACACACACATTTTTTTTTTTTACTTTCTTTTTTTTGTCCGTCTCGCTTGGGGCATTGGCCCACAGCCCCTCCCAAAGCACCGTCGCCGCTCCCCACACTGCCCACAGCCCCCCCAAGCACCGCCGCCGGTCCCCAGCGCCCCCGATAGGCCTCCCGGGCGTGGGTGGCGCTCTGCGCGTTCGCGTTCAGAGCGTGCACCCGCATTCTTTGAACGCGCGTTCAACGCGTTCAAAAACTTAACGCGGAACCCGCGTTCAATGAACGCGCGGCAATACAGTTGCTCTATTTGATTGGGACTCGGACTTTATGCTTTCGGACCAGGACACTCGCTGCGGAGAGGATCTTCGCTGGGACGTTTTATCTGACTTTACCGCACAATCCGCCGCCTGGCTCGCACCTTGGGCACCACTCAATTCCCTCTTGCATTTCGCTGTTACAGTACACCTTGTATCTGATTTGCTGAGTCTTCACGGAGTTGAGTCCGACTAGGCTTGAGAGGACCTCATACGTAGTCGGTCCAGACTGTGTGGCTGGATAAGATCTCTCTGATCTTTTCTTTTTGCAAACGGCACCATAGCTTTATGGGAAATTTGACTTGTGGCCAGCGGGGCGAAAGGGTAAATCGGCCATCGGAGGGGCACAATGCAAAATAATGGAAAATGCAAGGGTGGCAGACAATTTTTCCCCAGAAAAAAACACCGGCGGAAGAAAAAGAAAGAAACACCAACAGAAGAGAAGGCGGCAAAATCGGAGGTCGTGATCTGCGCTGCCGTATGTTATGGTATCATGGTGCCATCCTAGGTGACTCCCCCTGCTGGGCCCTCCCAATCCCCTCTGTCATCTTACCTCCCAATGGATGAGTACTACGGGCACCTCCTGAGGCCAGGGGCCTCGGCCTACTACACGGCGCCGCGTTTAGCTGCGACAGCTTTGCGACGACGACGAGTCCTGGATTGCAAAAATATCCAGTGGTCGTTAGTCCAGCACGCCGAGATGGCAGCTCTCCCGCCCAAACGGGAGGTGTTCATTGGCAAAAAGCATGTCGGCGCATTACACGGCGCGGCGCGGGACGTCTAGTTTACTATTGTCAAAAAAGTGTCATAGCTAACTAAACGCCCTAAAACCTCACCTGTAGTCTGTTGGCGGGCAGAATAGGCCTTGGCATGGGCAACAGATCTGTGAAGCAGGCGGAGCAGGCCTAACGCGAATAGGCTACTCCCATGTGTGAAGCACTCACTTCCGGTAACACGTAAAGAAGGCAGGGGTATTTACGCAACTCAAAAGATGTAGCAATTCGAAGACCCGTCATGGTGGTTGATGGCCCTCCTGCTGTGCAGATCGGAAGGTGTCAAAAGTGTCCCAGTCAGTGGTGTGTACTAAAAAAAAAGTGGACCCGCGCAGAAAAGATTTTCCCGCCTGCCGAGGTGTCACTCAGTATCATTTTCTGCTACTAAACCTTGCAGAAAAGATTTTCCCGCCTGCCGTGGTGTCACTGAGTATCATTTTCTGCTACTAAACCTTGCATGTGGGCCGAGGCGGCAAAATGGGCGGCAAAATGTGCGTGACCTTGTCCACTTACCACGGTCAGCCGAGTCCCATCCGTCCCTGGAAGCTTCTCTGTCTTCCCTCGAACACAACGCATTGCATCTTCCCTCGAACACAACGCACACAAGCGATATTTCAGGTTTTATGCAGAGCTAACGACATTGTCCCCCGATCTTTGACACCCTCTGACTGATCGATACGGAAGCATTTCCAAAATTTCCCCGCTCCAGTTTCGTTTCGACTGCCACTGTTTTTTTTTTTTTTCCCTGTATTATTATTATGCCCTCATCGTGCGGGGCCAGTTTTGCGCGGGCAGTCTTGTGGTTTTCCGCGCTGGGGCGGTGTGGACGAGAATGGCTATGGCGGTTTCGTCCTCAACATCTCCGAGGCGATCGGACGCGACCATGGTTCGAACCAAAGTGCGATGCAAGATGACAATCCTGCTACTACCGGTAACGGCGATCATGCTGTTGATGGTCCAGCCAAGCCTCGCGAGCGATCGGCGCGTGGCGGCGGAGCGGGGAACAGCTGCAAGACGACTTCAGATCTCGACGAGTCCAGCTCCAAGCGCAGCCATCGATTCCAAGCCTCCACCGTGGCGTAGTAGCGGAGAGGAAGGCAGGCAAACGGCGGGGACTCTGACGCTGGTTAATGACTCGTCGACGGGCTCCTTGTTCAAGACGAATGAGGTGGTGGTAAGCTACTCATCTCCATCTCCAGCAGATTATCATCCCCTTGACCTTGCAGGGTGCGAGAGTAGGGTTCGTAACATGGTCTTTGTACCCAACGTCACGGTCTTCTACTTCAGCCTCCAGATCGTTTGCGCGGACTCGTACCGTGACACGGTCATCGCTAGAGCCGATCTCCTGCCATTAAAGAGGCGCAAGAAGACACTTGTGGACGCTGAGACCATAGCCGTATTCCCGCCAAACGGGAGTGCCCCAGGTCCGATCCCCATGAATAGCAGTCCCGCGGAGACGCCGCCCCCATCCTCATCCTACACATCCGCTCCTGGGACAGGCTTGGGATCGCATGCCCTCTCATCATCATATTACCCTCCCGCTTACGCTTCCTTGGCGCCGGCCTCGGCAACACGCTCGGCAGCAGCAGAAGCAGACGCCTCAGCCGCAGCAGAGGCACGGTTCTCGGAAGCAGCGGCAGCGTACAGCTCGGCTGCACAACAATCAGAGACCTGGGGCTGGGACGAAGAATATGGCTCGCCCGAACTAGACGCAGAGCCCTCGGGCGCAGACGAATCATATTCGTTGCCACCCTCACCGATGCTTCGTAAGGTTCTGTTGGAGACACAGTCCTGGTCATTAGACGAATTAGAGTTCTGGGCAGCAGAGGAAGGACGGCGCTGGACATCTAGTTCAAGGGCGCCTCCGTCGGGATCCGAGCTGCTATCCATCAGGGCATTGATCTCAGAGCCGCATTCCGCCTGGGCATCGATCTTCTCGGGACCCCCATCGGGACCGGCGGCTGTACTGGTAGTACATCCTCGGGATGACCCCGTTTCACTGCAGGGTTCCACGCATGGTCCTCCGGATGTCATCTTCTCAGATAACGGAGAAGGGCTGATCCCTCCTCTGAAGTATCAAGCAGGCTCGGCAGCAGCCTCGGCAGCAGCCTCGGCTTTAGTGGAGGTAGGGTCAACCGCGCGACGATCGATGAGGCGATTGGCAAAAAGTTCTCCGCCTTCATTACTCGTCGTCGGCGGCCTGGAGCTGTCCGATCTGGGAGCGAACCTTCTCGTCACTTTCCCCGAAGCTTCCGTGGGCAATTCCTCGACCACGATGATCACGTTCTTGTCGACTACTTCGGGCCATCAAGAGCCAGTGCGAGTAGCGAGTGCTAGAACGGCGGGAAGCATGGCCTTCAACCCAACGAAGACGAAACTATACCTTGCTGACGTGGCCGAGCCTCCACGACTTCTTGCTGCGGAGATTGCGGACACGGAGATGTGTGTGAACACGTCAACGAGGTTCGAGATCCTTCACACCTTCGAAGGGGATGGAAGATATCCTTATGTGAGAAACCTATCCTTCAGTAGACAGAGCTTTTCAGGCGATGGCAGTTGCTTGTACTTGGTAGACCCAGCGCTCAGCCAAGTGTGGGGTTTTAACCCATTATCGAGGGCGTTTACCTTGATATGGGGATGGATGCATAAAGCGTCGGGGCCTGGGCCTGATTCCGAGGCTGCTGCCGAGCCGGAGGTCTTGGGACCGGACTCCGGTCTGCTGGATATCGTGGCAACGGATGACGGGTGCAATCTCTTCTGCATCGGTACCCCTCCGTCTCCGTCGCTTTCTGAGGTCAGCAGTTCGAACTCTAGCGGCAGCAGCATTTACTGGGTGACGCTAGATTCGCCGTGTGCCGCCAGCGGAAGCGTGAAGACAGTCGCCAGAGCGGATGGCTTTGCATTGCACGGAGTGGCACTGCATCAATTCGACGGCAAGTTGTTTCTCTACGTCGGATCGAACGATGGTCGGGTGTTCGAGCTGGAGATCGAGTGGTCGCGACTCCACAGGTGTGCGTCGTCGTCGTCGTCGGGCAAATCTCATCGTCTGTCGAGGGCAGCTGTCATCACCATAGCCGTCCTGTCATCGCTCGCTGCAGTTGTGGCGATGGCGACCACGGTCATCCTGTTCGTTGCTCACCGGAAGAAGAAAGCGTCCGACGTGCCCGGTGTAGCCGCAGCAGAGCTCCCCTCTAGGACTGCGATCGAACCTGTCGGACGCCCGGACGTGGGCGTCTAGCTATCCGTCAGGAGCTGATAAGCAGAGAGGTATGGAAGCAGGTGCCAGCGGCTTGAAGAGGCCTTCCCAGTGAGCTTGCTTGCTTGCTGGCCTGCACAGACACTCTCAGATTCTCAGTTATGGAAAGAGGAGGCCATCAGTCTAAGAGAGCTGAAGGATCTCATTCGAAGGAGGTATGGAAGCAGGTGCCAGCGGCCTGGAGAGACCGTCCCAGTGAGCTTGTTTGCTTGCTTGCTTGCTGTTTGAAAGAGGAGGCCATCATGATGTCTGAGAGAGATGAAGCACAGGCACTCTCAGTAATGGAAAGAGGAGGCCATCAGTCTGAGAGGAGGCCAGCACTCTGAGAGAGAGGGCAGACGGGTCCTGCACAGCCACTCTCAATTATGGAAAGAGGAGGTCATCAGTCTGAGAGAGATGAAGGATCTCATTCCGAGGAGGAGGACTTCCCAGAGGCTACAGAGGTCCCGTTCCCTTCTCATCGCCTCTGCCACGGTAATTGGCGCGCTGTGGGGTGGTGCCTCGTGATATATGTGTGCGAGGATTGCGTGTTGTAAGAAAAATAAAAGAGAGGAGGGGAGTAGGTTTTTTTTTTTTTTTTTTTTTTTTTTTTTAAGTGGCCCGATGGACCACAGATCAGATATTAAACTTATCAGAACAGATACTACACTTGATCTTAGCCAAAAGGCCGAGAAAGGTATGAGGGGAGTAGTTTTCGATAGCATTCGAAGTTGATTGGGGGTTCATTTGTTTCGTTCCGTTGTTGTTCAGAGTACCTAGTCTCTTTTGACGAAAGTTGGGTTTCAGTGTTTTAAGTGATCGCGGCATGACATTGTGCTGCTGTTTGAGCTTCATGTGGGAGGCTGCCGTTTTAGGCAAAAGATGACCACATATTCTTTTTAGCAACGAGAGATTAAAAAGAGAAAGAAAGATGACCTGCTTTTTTTTTCGTCTTATAAGTAACCTGCTTTGTTGCGACTGAGGGCATACTCACACTAGGACTTGTTTACGTGCTTTTGGACGTAATTGCGGTGCGATGCGTCCAGGTTGGACCGTAAATCCAGTCAGATACGTTCAAGTTAGAGCTGGTGTGAATACGCTCTCACTGAGTCTGGCGAGCCTGGCTAGGTGGTTGCGACATGACGTGGCGCCTGGTCTACGTTGTCCACCGTTAGATGTGGGGACCGTCTTGTCCTTCCTGTTTCTTTTTTTTTTTTTTGCTTTCTGTCTCTTGTCTTTTCTCTTTCGTTATTATTATTATTTTTTTTTAACTACACTATGTTCTTCTCTCAAATTCGTTTTTCGCCTTTTACTACCTTCCTACCACTACTCCTAAGACTATATAGAGGGGACCCCTGCAAGCATAGGGCCTCGCAAACGAGGTAATTCATGTTGCCCCCCGCCCTTCCTCTTTCTTTTTTCCCCTTCCTTTCTGTTTTTAGGAAAAAAAAAAAAAAGGTTAATTCTTTAAGCCCAACCAATTCAATTACCTGTCGTCTTGCGACTCTTGCATCCCCTTCTTCTCTTCTAAATCTGTTAAAATTGGAACGATACAGAGAAGATTAGCATGGCCCCTGCGCAAGGATGACACGCATAAAATAAAAATAAAAAAGTTTCCCGGGAAATTGAAAAGTGGACCAGACGTGAGGAGTTCGAAGCAGTCACCCTACCATGGAAACTGGTAATCTTTAGGGGGAGCCCTTTTACTACAGTAATCACAATAATTACTGTAGCGTGAGAGCCAGCCTAAGTTAGGCCGATGATTAGGCCAGTGAAGGCTTATACCGTAGCTTTGGCGCAGTAACCGCCGTAGAGATTATACTGTGGGCAGTGTGGCTGCGTAGGGGTGAGTGTGGTTGGGTACACCGTGTCGTGGGATCTCGGATCTCCGTCCTGGGGTGGGGTGAAGTGCTCATCTCATCTTGGGGCTTCACTTTGACCCCAGCCCACTTAGCCTTATGGTAAGGTGTTAGCCTGCCAAGCGGTTGGTTGTGTGTTCGAGTCTTGTGTTCAGATTACACGGTGAAGTGAGATAACGAGCTTCCATCCAGCGGCCTTGCTCAGTTGGTAAGGCTCGCAAGTGGCATTCAGGAGGTCATGGGTTCAATCCCCATTGGCCTCATGACCTTCCTGGGCTTACTTGGCACCCGCTACCCAAGAGATAGACCACTGGATCCCCCGATCCGCATCAAGCAGAGTCTGCTATGTTAGTAGGGGAGGGGCCTGAGGGGAGGCACGGGGGATTGGTTCGCTTAATCCCTGGTGCTACAGGCCGTCCCCTGGCCGGTATCCTGCAGGCTCGAGTGGCCGTAAAAACATGGCTCTGGTATGCTACGGGTTTCCCGTATGCCTATAAGTAGTAGTGGTAGGTAGGTAGTGTGAGGAAAAATTGAGAATAAGAAAAAAAAAAAAAAAAAAAACGAGCTTCCAGTTTTTTTTAAAAATAGGGAAATTGGTTGAGTTTTCTGAGATGAGATTCTGGACCCACTTTCGCTCCGGTATTGCCGGTTGAATTATGAATTTATGTTTTTACTCGTCCTCATTTCATTTCGTATGTAATGTAAGTTTCACACTTTTAACCTGAAAAAGAAAAGAAAAAAAGAAAAAAAAACAGAACTTTTGTTTTTATTTTTTGTTTTGGTTTCTTTTTGTTCACCTGATTGCATCTGGATTCGAACTCAGGGCTGTATTTCAAGTTCGTGGATGTACAAACTGAGGGAGAACCGTTGGTAATTGAAATTCTTCCGAACCCCAAAAAAAAAAAAAAAAAAAAAAAAAAACACCTTCGGTACAGCCTCGGTAGCCTTTTCTGGACCGCATTAAATATTCCAGCGATTGCTTTCTGGTGGTCGCTGAGTAATGGCCCCAGTAAGGCCCACCGTGGTAGAATTGTCAGGTCCCGACCTTCTTTCCAATTTGCAATGAATTCGTTATTCCCCTTTTCTCCTTTTCCCAAAAAAGAAAAGTTATCCAGCGGCCTAGCTCAGTTGCTGACGCACGCAAGTGGCATTCAGGAGGTCTTGGGCTTAATCCGCTTTGGCCTCATTAGGCCCTCATGTACCTTCCTGGGCATGCTTGGCCCCTGCCACCTAGAGATCTCCTGAGTGGCATTGAGCAGAGACTGCTGATGTTCATATTAGGGGGAGGGGACCGGAGGGGAGGCATAGGGATAATTGGTAGAAAGTGCCCAGGCCAAACATTTTCGGGTAGAAAGTGCCCAGGCCAAACATGGAAGACATGATTGCGCAATCATGTCTTCCATGTGGGGTAGTACAGGCCACGCTTCACTCCGAGGGCCCTACGGGATCATGAACCTATATCATGCTATATGTGCCAGATTCATTTTGGCGTAAAGGAGGTCGAGGATGGTACCGCTGAAGGATAGAATGAGGCCCGTGGTATTTTGAGAAAGAAGAGCCCTACCTGTTCGTGAATCTGGCACAAAAACAGCACCAAATTCATGAACTGGTAAAAATAGGCCAAGGGCGTTGTGGCCACAGGGCAAAGGCTTCTTTCACCCAGGCTGAAGAAATTCGGGCCGGTAGTACCAAACAGCCCAACTTTGAGGGGCCAAAACCCAAAAGGTTTTGGCGTGGGTGCTTTCTACCAATTATCCCATAGATAAAGCTCGGTCCTGATGCTACCGGCTGACCCATGGCCGGTATAGCCTACCTGCTGTAGCAGGTATCGCACCCACTGGTGGGTGCAGTGGGTGCAGCCACCGCATGGAGGCTTGAGCAGGTTCAGCTCCCCCATGTTACCTCGTTGGAGGCTTGAGCAGGGACGTGGCTGCTACGGGGTTCCCGTAATACTAGAATGACAAGTTGCCCTGCGCAGGTTAACAACTAACCCCACAAACGGAAAGCAGAGAATCCCAATTGAACCACCAGGAGCTTTCCCCACTTGGGTAATGCAGTAGCCAAGTGGGCGACGGCCGCCGTTGATATTCGTTTGGGGCCTCCAACACTGCCCGCGGCCGATGTATGGGAAGGGTACTGGTGGTTTGAGGACGTTATCCTGCAAGCTTTCAATTGCCTCAAGCCCCAACAACGCACCCCGTAGAGTAGCAAAACATTTTTTCGCCTTTGTTGAATAACCCTTTCCCCTATGCGACCCCAGTGGCTGCGGTCATGGCGGTCATGACCGTGGCCCGCGGTTGGGGCCGTGGGGCCGCAGTAATGACCACCGTGGTCGCGGTCGAAATCGGCCCACTGCGGCCGAGGGGAAGGGGGTCCTGCCAATCGGGGTCGGGATTCCGGCGGCGGGACCTGGGCCCCACCCCTACATTATGAAAAAAAAACAAAAAAGATAAAAAACGGGGGGGTCTAAATAGGGGGGGTTCAGAGGGGGGAGAAAAAAATTATCGACTTTTTACTTTTCATTTATTCTCTCTGTTGAAAAACCCGCTGTTTTGTTTTTTTACTTTTTTTTTGTAATTGATTGATTGATTGATTGATTGATTGGTTGGTTGGTTGATTGGTTGATTGGTTGATTGATTGATTTTTTTTTTTTGGATTGATTGATTGATTTTT